TATATTTTAATATAATTTATTCATACGTAATTCCTATATATATAAATTGTTAGTGAATATGTTAACTAACATGGATAAGTGAGTTGGTAGCATAGTTACTTTTCTCCCATGGAGACTAGGGTTCAAACCCCCCTTTCTACAAAATATATATATTTTTTTTCTACAAAATATATATTTTTTTTCTTAATTGACATAGACTGCCACGTCAGCCCAAAGATGCCCCGTCATTGACACGTGGAAATGCCACGTCACCACAAAATGCCACGTCACCAGAACAGGCCCGAAATTGGGCCCTGTGATTCGAATTGCAAGAAATAAGTAAAGTTGTGTATTAAATTGCTAAATTACAAAGGTGATGATTAAATTGCAAAAACATAAAAGGTGGTGCTTTTATATGCAATTTTGCCAAGAAAAAATAATAATTCAACTTTACATTATTTTTATGAGAGAAATGTATAAATGTTGATATGGTTTAATTTTGGTTTTATTATTTTTTTTTCTTTCCAATATTGTTCATTATACAGCCCTAAATTGAGCAAATCGGAATAAACCAAGTACAGGCAGGTCGACCAGACGACCTAAGTAGAATCATTTGTATAAAGATGACTAAAGGGGAAGACGAGATTGTAAAGGTGATAAATCCCGGACGACTTGGAGACCCTTGTACGACCTAAGAATCAAAAGACCTGAATAAATGGTTTTAGAGGAGATAAAAAAGAATCTTAAAGAGATGAGAATAAATCTAATGATGACTAGGATTGAATTAGGATGATGATGAACGTACACTAAACAGATAAGTGGTGAACGCTGGCGGGGCACCTCGCCTATGCCACGTCCTCCATGCTCACTGCGGAATCCCTCACGCCCGCCGAGGTCGCCGGCATCGCGCGGTTCATTTAATTTGCTCGCCAGGAACAATTGTAGCTAGAGCCAGACGAATGTCCTGGATCCCCACCGAAAGCTCCGCAATCTGACGCCCCATCGTCTCGATGGTGGCGTCACGCCATTCGTCAGCGATGTTGTCTCCGAGGCATCGCAAATCGTGTAGTTGGACTCTGCATACCAACTGATGCAAACGGAAGCATACAATAAAACTCGAGAGTATATAAGCTCACGATAATTTGTATTTTATTTCAATCTTTACCACCGATCATAAGAACTTACATTCAAATAACAATAGTCTATGAATGCTAAGGCGACCTCGTCTCCATCACCAGGAGGACTGGTTTCGGCTATATTTATTTTCTCACCATGTTTCTAAATTCTACAATCAATTTAAGTTGTTAACCTGTACTTGATGCCGTCAATTTAAGTATTCAACTATCGGATGATGTTCTGGAAAGGCTATTGCTTTCCGACAGTTAAGTAGCGTGCACAGGTGGCAGCCGTTGAGTGGTGGAAGTTGAGGAGGGCGGCAACGCGAGATAGACAAGCATATCTACAAAGACCTGAAAATTGACCTGAATTGTGGGTTTGGTTATGGTTAAGTGCAAATATATTTTGCAAGATAAGTTTTATTTGTAGTGGTTAATGTGAAATGGTGTGAATCCATTTTATATGTGACTAATAAATATTGAGAAGGTTTATTTTATTTTTAACTTATTTATTTATTTATTTCAAACGTTAAAATATTATTAAAAACTCCAAAACGAGTACAACTCGATGTGCAATTCCTTCCTGAACTGGCAATTGTATGATTTTAAACCGCTTTTCCGTTTTTAAATGACTTTTATGGACCTACAACAATATGTTTTGTTCTTGGAAGTAGACATCTGACTCTCAAATCAGTTTCATAATATGAAGGTGATAATTATGTATGAGTATTGAAAAATCAGATAGACTGATTTGAGAATCAGAGATCTACCGTTAGGAACAAAGCCTTCATACCCGAGTCTTACGAGCTATCCAACGTTCCCTACGTCCTTACCGAGCTACAAGGTCTTAAGACCATCACATTCGAGCTTCAGGACTTTCAAGCCTTCATACCCGATTTGTTAGGTCTATTCATCACCATCTAGCTACAAGTTCACGACCACTTACCCAAGCTAGCTCCTTGAGATCGGTCTACCAAGCTAATTAACTGTTAGAAGCCGGTCTACCGAGCTATACTATTTGTTATATCTCAACTGGTTACCCATTGATAAAAGGATAAACGTTCTGCTTAGTACATCAAACACAAATTAAAGTGAATAAAAAGACTATTACGAGAGATCCAACTCGGGCAAACACACCAAACACAAAAACTAGACGCAACACTCCCCTATTGGGAGACGCAAAGACTCCCCTAATGGAAGACACAAGCACTCCCCAAGGAAAATCCAACAACAAAATAGTACACAAATAACAATACAAACTAAAACTAAACAACAACTAAAAAAATACAAGTTTTCAAACCGCTTTTCAACAATACAAATTTTGTACACAAATTTTGGCAACTCTATACATCGGACCCCCGATCCACATGGCACATTACATCATCTTTTGACAATTTTTTTTTTTAATTTTATTTTCAACGCGGAAAGCAATAAACACGAATTTACCACATGGTAAAATGTAATTATAAACCTAGCCACTTAGTAAATATAATAGTACAAGTTTAAGATAAATAGTTATATTTATAGAGTTAATATAAGAGGCGTGAAAAAATTGTGTCACGCCGTCCAAACAAATCTTTCATCCCAATATCTGCCACCCCACTTCACGCGTAATCAATACCCATTTTTATTTTATTTTTATTTTATTTAATTTTTACCCCCCACAATCTTAATATTTAATCTATAATATAAGCATATAAATATATTACTTTGCCTTAATACCTTTTGGTCTATATCCTTAGACAATAACTTAAAAGCATTAATTGCCTTTTTTTGTGTTGTCATCAACCTCTCATCAGATAACACACACACACATACATATATATATAAGAAACACCATTTTTATCATTCTCTGTTAAAATTTCATCAAGAATTAACACAACATCAATCGAACACGAAGTTGACGAACGAACGAGCGAGAAGTTGACTCTCCGGTTAGTAGTATTTTCTTGATTATGTACGAAAAAGTCGATCGAATAGTAGTATTTTTTTTTTATTTTTTGAAAAGAATGAAAGTGAAATTATTATGTTTCTATTGAAAAGTATATATCAAATGTCAAAAAAAATAAAAAAAAAAAAAATACTGAAAATTATGATTCAATGCATGCATGGACTCATCAATTATTGAATTAATCAAGTTTGTTTGAACCCTGAGAGTCTTTGTCAATTATATATATCTTCAAAAATATTTCAATACACAGAAGAATAAAAAGCCAAAGTTACTAAATATATATATTATTTTGTTTTGAATGATGCTCTCTTTTTTTTTTCTTTAATAATAATATTTATTTAAAAAAATAAAAATAAAAAATATATGTATATATAAATAATGGAAGAAGAAGAAGAAGGGTAGTAGGGGTGGGTGTGAAAAAAACCCCATGCCCAACAGGATATCATGGAGTGGAATGCACTCAAAGATAAAATGAACATGCCCATGTTTCTAAATATTTTT